ACATAGAAGAGCATAAATTATAGTGGTATATGTTATGGAAAGTGACGCACCCTCCAGAGATGAAGGGTACCATGCAAACCTGAAACCCCCAACCTTTTTCCACCTTTCATTTACTTCCTCAACAGGTGGGGCAAGCCTCCCCTATACCCTCACTTTACTAGCACTTCATGCCAAGTTACATATTAAAAACCAGGTGTCTGAGCGGTGATATGCAGCGGATATTTTTTGTCATTTCACTGTAAAGTTGGAGCAGTTGTACTCGAGTTGTTCATGACATTTTCTTATGCTCTATAAGATGGCAGTGTCCATTTCCCTCTGTCTCTGTGTGTTGCTCTTGGTAACATTAACCGTTATGGCTACTACTATTTCTCTTTAAAAATGCTTCAGTAGTAATCTACCTCAGAATTGCATTCTGATGCAATATATGGGTAATCTTAACCCTTTAGCTGCAACATTTAACTATATATGAACATATTTCTTAGCTCCCACATTACAAAGTATGACAACTGTCCTTATGAGTAAGGGATGGCAATGACTATGATGTATGTAGGGAAATAATTTTAATGGAAAACAATACCTCAAAATGATAATAACAGTTGCACAAGATCAAATCAAGTGGCACTGAGGCTCCTGTGCATTGGATTCTGGAAAAGCCAAAACTCCCTCAAGTCTTCTGCAAGAAAGAGCTCGGACTGGTTCCGTATTTGACGGTGAATCACAATGGCACTGTTAGATTTAGCCGAACTAGCATTACATTCTAATGGGGTATTTACTACGACACAAATGCAAAGACTTATCTTACTGAAAAATATAACTTTTAATGACATGAATGAAAAAAACTAGTAACCAGGCGCTCATCCGTGCAACACAGAGATTATATAACACCAATAATACCAATACCAATGACATTTAGAGATAACACAGCATCATCCTTCTGTCATGTAAATATCAACTTTCCACCGAGTTTAATAAAAACTACACAATTTTCTTTCCTTTTCGCTGAATTTCCCTTTGTATTGACGCTGGACTGGAGCGCGAGGTCAAGCAGGCAGGGAAGCCATTCCTACAATTACTGATCCTGTGTGTGCTGTTTAATTTAATTAATGCCTCGGGCGCATAACAGAACCATGGATGATACAGGAACGAGATCTCCTACCGGCCAACGCGAGGAAAATGGAAGAAATAGTGAGAAAAAAAATAAATAGAATTGGGCGTCGAACCTTCCACGGCCACCGCCTCCCGCCAATACGTTCGAATGGCTGCTGACTGTGACTTGAACTTTTATTTTGGTCTCTTGTACTCATTTCGAAGCTAATTACTTGAAGCTAAACATTTGATACCTGAAGATATCGTACCAGATTTAAAGAAACACCCGAAAGTACATGAAACAAGAGGTATGGGAAACACGCTAATATTCATTCACTATGACTTCGATGTCTTGCAGCAGTTGGAACGCGTGGTCTTGGATCAGCTGTGAGCAGGTAAACACGCCTCGGCCTCGCCTGCCTCTTTATTTCGCTGTAATTACACTCCCTTACATATTTAACACTCTCTCTCGGGTGTGCTTGAGACATTTAGTTACATATTTCACTGCAGTTACGGTACTACACACGTCTTTGGCAATATATATGTAAGTGTCAAACTCAGGCCCTTGGCTAGTGCAAGGAACTGCCGTGAAAAGAAATATAAAAAAAAGGGAATCTTATGATGACACCTTCTAGACGATTTTTGTTTTGGATTTTTGTTTTTGTTTTGTCATTCTTCACTGTAGGGAGAAGTGCCCCTCCCATTGCAGGGGAAAATGTCACTGCTTTGCAATGAGATCACGTAGGCTCGTTGCAGTGCCCGGGGCTGACATCCCTTAGACATCTGCTAATCTAGACAAGAAGATAGAAGCAGAGGGAAGTAAATAAAGAATAGCAGTAAAGGACAGATAATTAAAAACATTCTAATACTGCACACATGTAGAACTAACCTAGGCAGTAGATGTAATGTGCAAATTTATTAGTATTTTGCCTCTTAAGAGAAGCAAGTGATTACCAAGATTTGCAACTTTGGAGTACTTCATATCCTGACCATTATAAAATGCAGTAGATATTGCAATAGATAGAAGTAGATAGCATATTAATGTGTGCAGAAATGAAGACCAAGAATAAAGGCATAGTTACTGTGATAGACAACCATAAAGTACATGATAAACATTAGATCGAGTTGATAAGTCAGCGAATACTAAGTGTTCTTCATCTGTAAATGGATGTTGCAGACTAAAAATTAAAAAGTAATTTAATTTATAATGCATATGAATAATTAATTAGAGGACCTACCTTTTAGCACCAACATTGATTCGCATTGATATTTGGAGTATAGTCTTCCTTGGGTAAATTATCAAGAAGATAAGAAACCAGTTCCAATTTATTTGTTGCCAAAATACATGCGATGAAGGTTTTGATAGCCTTTGCTGGATGCCATGGCTGTTACTTAACTTCATTGCCTGGTTTATTTGTTTCTTTATTTGCAATTTTCAATTTGTCATAAAGAGGAAATGGAATTAATTGAATTATTGAGCCCATGTACTTTATACCTTGTACCATGCAAGTATATATGTTTGAATCTATAACTCTACCCAAAACACTTGAGTTATTGTCATAACACATCTGATAACTTTTTTTTACTTTTCACTAACATTCTTGATGATTTACAAGTTGTGGGATGTATAACATAATAGTAATGGCATGTTGCATTTCATTTTGTCCAAGTTATTAATATGAGAAATAGATATTGACTATTTTTTGCATTGTCATGGTTGACGAGTGTGTATATCAGTGTAAGATGCTGTTATTTTATTTTTTAATATCATTCTGCATAATTCTCTAAATTAAATATATCAGTTACAGGTTATTTCAAATAATGCTTTTACTATATTAGAAAGGATTGCATATTTGTTAAATAAATGGAAGGCAAAGGAGGTTGTGTTTGATTCAAGTTTATAGTTTATTCTTTGTTATACAATATATATTCATTTCTTTACACTTTAAAGTCCAACAATCTGCGTGTGTGTGAGTGTGAGTGAGTGTGACTATGTGAATGTGAGTGAGTGTGAGTGTGAGTATGTGAGTGTGAGTATGAGAGTGTGAGTGTGGGAGTGTAAATGTAAGTATGGGTGTGAGTATGAGTGTAAGTGTGAGTGTGAGTATGACTGTGTGTGTGGGCTTAAGAGATCTGCCCTGCCTTGGGCCTCAGCCCTCGGCTTAACCAATTTTCTAAATCCAGACATTCCAATGTCTGTGTATTTGTATATATATGTGTATATGTGTATTGTGTGTTTATGTATATGTATATGTATATATGCTTATGTATATATGTATATTTGAGAATGTATGTGTATGTATATATATTTATTTATTCATATAATGTTTGTTTTTATGCATACGCAGCATATAGTATATGTGAATGTATAAAAAATATGTAAATATAATTATATATACACATGTTTATATGTATGTATGTATGTATGTATGTATGCTTGTATGTATGCTTGTATGTATGCTTGTATGTGTGTTCACCGTCTACAGGTATACTGTAAACTTTCAAAATTCAGTGAAATATCAACATATATGGTTTAAAAGGCATCAGATGCAATGTTGTGTAACAGCAACCATAGCTGCCTGCCAAAAGGATGATTTACTACTGTATTTTCACTGTATATTGGTAATACTAGTAATAGGGGAGATAAAGGAAGGACAAATGAGGGTGGTTGAGAAACTGAGTAGTAGCCAGTGGTATGTTGGTTTAATGCTAGATTTATCATCTAAACCATGAGTTATTAAATTTGTTGACCCCCTATGGAGTTTCAAATTTTCAGTCAATTTGAGTACAGTAGCCATTATATCTGCAACACAATTTTCAACTTCAATTCACAATAGTTACTTCACAGACCACAATTACGTGAGCTGAGAATTACTGGCTCTCCTGTATGCAAGAGAGAAGTGGGTAGGGTTGGGGGATAAACTCGCTCACTTAATGCGGGACGCAGACAGAAATATATCCAGTATGGGCAGATAAAATGAGGGTAGGGTTTGGTTGAAGCTGGTGTTGCCAGAGCTTCTGAAATTTCCAGGACTTACTGAAATTTTTACCAATTTGTCTGAATTTAATGAAGTGATATAATTAAACATTCTAATGGTGTCTGATGTTCTTCAAACTTTCTCAAATTATTATTGAGAATTGTTGTGAACTCATTCACTTCATTTTCACCCATTTATAGGTAAGGCAAACAATAATTAGTTTAGCAGCATACCAGAATTTTAAAAAAGGTAAATAAATAAATGAATTCATTAAAGAAAATGGCTGAGGTTAGATCCATTTCACCAGTGTGTCCCATGCCGAGGCAGATTTCATATATGACACTGAATATAATGCTGCTAAATAGGCCTATAGTCATACACAAATTCATGACATTGTTTATTTACAGTAATGTTATGGCATAGCCAACAAGATGCAATAGATAGATAGAGATAGATTTATAGAAATAGATTGATAGATAGTTGGATACTTTCCTTCCCACTCCAGTCTTTCAAATTACCCACCCAATTCCCTTGTGGTCTTCCTCTTCCACATCTCCCCTCCATTCCTCCCTCCATCACCGCTCTTGCTGGTCCTCCTCCTCGAACACAATGGCCAAAATACTTCAGTTTCCTTTCCTTTACTATTTCAACTAAACCCTCTAGTTCGTATCCACATAATTCTTTAATCCTGTTCTTCACTTATTCATTAGTTTTCTTTTCTTTCCATGATTTACCCAACATTCTTCTAGATATATAGAGGTGGATAAATAGATAGACAGATAGATACATACATAGGGGTAGAGAGAGAGAGAGAGAGAGAGAGAGAGAGAGAGAGAGAGAGAGAGAGAGAGAGAGAGAGAGAGAGAGAGAGAGAGAGAGAGAGAGAGAGAGAGAGAGAGAGGTGTGTGTGTGTGTATGTGAGCGTGCATGCGTGCATGCGTGAGAGTGAGTTTGTCCACAAATTTCAAAAGTTGATTTGCAAAACCATACATATTTTTTTCAACGCAAAATGTAGGTCCCTTCAGCTCCCAGTAAGCATTCACCAACCCCCCCCCCCCCGGTTATTCATCGACCCCCGTTTGAACCCCTGGCTATTCACTGACCTCCTGGATCGTCCTATCACCCAGGATCATAAAATTCAGTTATAGATTTACCTTTTTTTAAAATTCAAATATGCTTCTAAACTAATTATTGTTAGACTAACCTGTAAATGGGTGAAAATGTAGTTGACTGATTTTACAACATGAAACAGAAGTACCTGAGAGAGGTCTGTGATGTTCCTTGAAAAAATGATAATGTTGTGACTGTATGTGACAAATAGATATTAAAAAGTTGAGCCTGACGATCAAGTTAGATCCATTTCACCAATGTGTCCCATGTTGAGACAGATTTCATGTATGACACTGAATATAATGCAGCTAAATAGGGCTATAGTCATGCATAAAGTCATGATGTAGCTTATTCACAGTAATGTCATGACTTAGCCAACTAGATGGAATAGATAGATAGATTGGTAGATAGAGATACATACATACATACATACATGCATACATACATACATGCATACATACATACATACATACATACATACATACATACATACATACATACATACATACTTAGGGATTTGTAGATAGATAGAGATAAGTAAGTAGATAAATAGATAGGGATATGTAGATAGAGAGAGAGAAAGAGGTGTGTGTGTGTGTGTGTGTGTGTGTGTGTGTGTGTGTGTGTGTGTGTGTGTGTGTGTGTGTGTGTGTGTGTGTGTGTGTGTGTGTGTGTGTGTGTGTGTGTGTGTGTGCGTGTGTGTCTGTGAGTTTGTCTACAAATTTCAACAGTTGATTTGCAAAATCATATATATTTTTTTCATTGCAAAATGTTGGCAGATTGATTGATTGTCTGATAGATAGATAGATAAATAAATGGATAAATAGATGGATAAATAGATGGATAAATAGATAGATAGATAGATAGATAGATAGATAGATAGATAGATAGATAGATAGATAGATAGATAGATAGATAGATAGATAGATAGATAGATATAAGTGTCCATTTTTTGGATAAATATGTATTATTTATTTATTTTATTATTATATTTATTATAATTATTATTTTTTGAAAAATAAGTTATATATTTGTAGCTGCATTACAAGTGGTAATGGAATAATCAGTTTTATTTATTTATTTATTTATTTATTGTTCTAAGCTGATATTTACATTTATTTAGTAATAATGCATACGTTTTTACTGTTATGTTCATTCAGCCATAATTCAGAAATGTCAAGCATTCTAGAGCGCTTGATATTTACATGGGAATTGTTGGATCATATATTCTTCTCTTACATTTGACATTTAAACCCAGGAAGGAGAAAATTGGTATGATCATGTGAAATCCCTTTATTCAGATGTTTCCCTTTAATCAGATTCTGCATAGGGAAAAGTATATACGTGTTGGAAATACTGTTCAGGTGAATTTGATTTGATTTAATTTTTTTTTGTAAAGTCTTTATTTTGTCAGGATATCTGATACAGGTTAATAGAAGCATAATGGAAAGTGCAGAGTTCAAATCATTTCTCAAGAGAAGAGATTTGACATTATGTTTAAAGATAGCCAAAGGGATTATTGTTGAATATAGCCATTATTTTTCATATCTCTTAATTTTGTTGATTTGATAGATATTTTTTTTCATACATGTCCAGAATGGGATAGCACCTGAATTTTATGTACGGCAAGTAATAAGTTTCATGAATTTTTCCTGTTGGAGGTATGGGGGGGGGGAGGACAGAATATCATTTCTTCTTCAACTGAATGAAAGAGGTGTTTCACGTTCATGGACATGGAACTTAAAGGTAATAGATTAGGGCTCTGTAAGGGTTCTTATAGGCCTGTGCCTTTAGATAAGAAATTTGCAAGAAGCACATGATTTTTTTTGATGCCATTCATGAGAGATATTTTGTTGATTTGAATTATTATCCTCTCACCAGTTTCTAAAATGATTTTGTGCGATATTTTTAGATATGTATCTTTTTTCTTACTATATATTGGAGAAAGTTAGGAAAATCTTGATTTTTGTCACTTCCCTTCTTGCATTTTACATTAAAATGACAGTTTGAGCTATGCCAGAGATATTTGATAAATCTTACAGACAGCTGCATCCATACGCAAAACAGTTTTTCCTCTCACTGTTGAAGTGTTTTAGTGCTTCCTTAATTTCCTCTTTAAAAAGAAAATATAGTGGTCTGTTTGAAGTTTAACCTCATTATAGTGAAGGGATATTTACAAGGGAGATTGTGGTAACTGACTTCCATTTGAGCCACATATCCCTTTTACTGAAATCACTCATGCTTGTGCAAGTTTCAAAAGTTGTTCAGTAGGAATGTTCACACTGTCCCCCCTCCCCCTGCCAAGATCTGCATTCTTGGCAGGGTA